TTGGGACATTTAGGTATCCGCAAATATACACATGAACGAAAGACATTATTGGCTCATGAATATAAGTACATACATAAATACATACTCCATATTTGGAATCTTCAATACACTGACCAACAGGTAAATACTGGTCGCTCTAGCAGACCACAAACAAACAAACAAACAAAAAATCAAAGGAAGTAATTTCAACACCAGTAGCAATGGCAACAAATGGCACACGCCAACTACTTCTAGATGTGAATGGCCAAGACCTCAATCATTTCATCAAGAAACTGCTGAACAATATATGCGACTTCTACGATGAGCAGGACCTCATAGATGTAACATTTAAGTTGTCTAATCCGACTGCTATGTAAGTTTACCACTGATTTATTTATGCATTTAACAACTTCATATAATAATTAATTACAATTCTCGCAGGGTTCCAGCACATCGCTTAATATTATCAGCGGCAAGTCCATATTTTAAAGATTTATTCAAAAGCGACAAGGGCCTAACTCCTGTTATCGAAGTAAATGACATAGACAGTGACACCTTTGAGCGTTTAATAACATTTTGCTACACCGGCCAAACGCTCGTAACCATCGATAATGTGGACGCAATGCTGAAGGCAGCACTGTATTTGAAGTTGGATGAGGCGGTGGTCAATTGTGTTGACTATATTTTGGAACATATAACTGACTATACACTGCAGCGGGCATATAGCTTAGAGCGTGAAACTCAGTGTGTACCACTGTATGAGAAACTCTTGGAATATGATATAAATAATTTTATGGAGGTGAGTCATATTGCTTTTCCGCAGTTTCGTATTATTCATATATACATATATTCCACAAGCTTAATAATAATACCCAATAATAGTATTTTGGCGGTATATATGGTGTTCGTTATGTAGCTAGCTAGACTTTTATAAAAAAAATAACAACCATTCCATTTGGCAAACTCCGAATTGATTTTAGACTCATGGTTCCTTCGGCAAGTTAGCTTGGAATTACACGTAGATTCCTCTTATGCTATACGCGCATGGTAAACAAAGAATGATCCGCCCTCATGTACCTACATATTTCTTATTTTTATTTTCAGATAAGCAAACACCGTGAGTTTCTTAGCTTTGATGCTGAAAAATTGCAGGCAATAATAGAAAGCCATAATTTGAATGTGACTTGTGAAGAAGATGCTTTTTATGCTGTGAAGCAGTGGTATGAGTACGATGCTTCTGGGCGGAAACATAAACTACCAGATTTAATCAGTAGATTACGACTGACCCTTTTTGACACAAGTTTCCTATTAAGAAATGTCCAAACACTCCCTGGATGTGAGTCATTGGCATTTAAGGCAACATCGTGGATTTCTCTACCTTCGCAACGTGCATTGATATCGTTAAAGTATACAGAGCCTCGCAGAAATGTATGCGTAAAGGAGGAAGAAACAACTTTGCTGGCGGTGCAAGCTTACGTAAGTGCTACAAAATGATAATTGCATTGTGGGTTTTCGATATTTATTTATTAAACTATCGCTTCTTTCCAAATTAAAATTTCCAAAGAAGAAATCTTTTGTAAGCGGTTGCCAATTCATTGATAGTACTTTTGAAATTCTGCTTTGAACAAAAGTCTTAAGATCAATCACCAATGACCTACTACTCCTCAAGCCCTGGTCAAAGCGACATCGCGAAAAAATATAGAAAAATGGTTTTTTCTGTCATGAAAAACAGCTTCTCATGAAAAAACAATCGCCGTTCGGAGTCGGCGTAAAACTGTAGGTCCCTTCTTTTGTATGACTACATCCAAGCGCCAATCTATTATTATTATAAGCAACCAAAACTAATATTGCTGTACCGATGATGTGAATACTCTTTTGGTCATTGTAGAACAAAAAAAAGTAAAAAATGCAGATATTTTTTTATTGGGCGCTCATGCCCCATCAAAGTCGAAATTTTGTTGATTGTTATTATTAATCAAGCACGATAATGCGGTCATGTTGTGCCGAATATCGTCGCATATTAAATTTGGCCCATATGCTCCGAAAAAGATTGTCACAATATGCGATGATAATGGGACCACTCAAAAAGTAGTTTTGCAAATTTTTTAAATATGTATGTACCAATCAAGCACAATGAAAATCGGAACATATTGTGCTATTTGCGCCGATAGTGGGATCCTAGCTCGTTTTATCGAAACAGACATCGCCCACAGGCCGGACCCATGTCAAGCAAGAAATATTTAAGGTTTAAATACCACCTGTCTCAGAGTTGAAACCCCTATGGTAGTGGGTGACTTTAACGTATTCAAGCTTGTCGAAAGATCGAAGAAGATGAATACACTTAGCTGAGCAGATGAGACGATTCGACAATACGTGCAATGAACGACGACGCCCCCACCAGGATTGTGGGTAGCTGCAGCAGTTTGCCAGACCTAAAAGTGAAAGTACGTAACGTCCGTCTGCGTCGCCGTCTTTTGTCAACAAAAAAATCTATCTCAAACAAAATTTTGAACATCATTTGTTTTCATCGATTTCTATTTAAAACCTTTCCAAATGATTTCGATAATATTTTTGACTAGCAAATACCCGACGTGCTTCACTGCGCCTTAAAAGTATTTTTGGGTTGTTTGATACCCGTATTGTAATATTTAATTAATTTTATCAATTTAATCAAGTTTTAATTTTTTAAACAGGTGGCAACCCTCAAAAACATTTTCGGCAGTAAACTTTCCTAAACCTCTTCAGTTTGATACCCATATTGCAATTTTTAATTAATCTTATCAATTAAATTAAATTAAAATTTTCAAACATGTGGCAACCTCCACAAAAATTTTTTTCGGCTGTAAGCCTTCTTGAACCGCTGTCTTTTGACAGCACTATTACAATATTTACTCTATCTTATCAATTTACTTAAACTGCAATTTTCAAACAGGTGGCAACGCTCTAAATTTTTTCTTCCTATATTTTAGTATAGACTTCTAGCAATACATTGGTGAAAACTGTATGAAATTTCATGCATTAGTTTTCGAGTGATGCGCGTACAAACATATGGACAGACAGACAAAAATTCTAAAAATTGTTGATTTGACTTCATATTAATTTTTATTTAATATCTGTAAGGTACAGACATCGGCCTGTTTACAATTTTATTATATATTATTATATGTATAGATACATATGTATAGATATAATAAAATTGTAGCTACTTTTTTCGTCTGCTCAGATTTTAGCGCCAATATTTCTGCGTCATTACAGCCAGTACGCACTCCCATATCTTGCTTCCTTCAGTATTAACAGACTTTCAAAGAGATGAATTTGTGATAATTTTTTATGTAATATATTACATTTGTAAGAAACCAACAAGATTTATTAGTTTAATGAAAGGAACTCTGGAGTAATTATCATGTTTTCTATAATATTCTTAAAACTTCATTTCTAATGCCTTCTGCTTCTGATATCTCAACAGGTTCCACTTCAACGCCTCGGGCATCATGCTCGTGAGTCTTATTTGAAAGCTCGCCTTCATCGGGGATGTGCAAAATTATAAAACAAGCAAATGTTGTGCAAAGCTGCACACACATTTATACATAATTTGTGTTGCTCTTTTAGTGAAGTGCCCTGGTTTGCAACAAAAATTTTAATCTATTTTTCAAAACTCAAATTGTTCGCTCAATTATATTTCTTATTTTGGCATGTTATTTGTTGTATGTCCTTTGAGTAACATCCATCACCGCCCAAAACAGATGTAATAATTATAAAAGGGCAAATACATGTAGGTTTTGCATTTAATTACATACCGAGTAGCCAATTATAACGATGTCGCTGTTCGAAATGTGCTTTCAATGACAACATATTGAAAATTACATACAGTGACTAACAAAAGTATTGGCACAGAGAATTTTTCGCAATGTATGCGAAGCTTTTCATCCTAATTTCTTTTTGCTAATTTTGTTTAAATATATAGTTTATACTACAACAACAAAAAAAAACATAAAAATAAAATCTCTAAACTTTGTGCAAAACTGGAAAATTCAATAAATTTTCAACTTTCTGATCAGATTTCCGAATGCGCACTTTTATAGCCCATTAAATTTTAGTATAACAAAGTACAAGTTTCAAATTGCTAAAAAATCGCGTTATTTTTAGTCTTTCTTTTGCGGACGGTGTTATTATATTCTTCCATACAAAAAAAAAAAAAAAAAAAAACTTGTCCAACATAGTACTTGGTATGGAGGAAAATGCGTGAAAAAAATTAAAAAAAAAATCAATTCTATTTTTCAGAAGCTTCAAACTTGCATAAAATTGAATGTGCTATAAAATTGCGTACTTAGAATTTTTCTATATAATTGTAATATGAACTATATTTATAATAAAAACTTAGCGAAAAGAAGAGTAGGTCCAAAAATGCATCTTTAGATACTCGGTAGTTTTTTATAAATCTGAAAATAGATTTTCTAAACTCACAATAAGGACCTATGCGTCTTATTTTGACTCAAAATTTTTCTTTCGGTCTTTTATTTTCCGAAATTTGGAGTTTTGTTTTATTTGTTATCTGCCTCTTTGAATTTGTGAAATCGCCAGACTGCATTTAAAACTAGATGAAGTGAGCTTTCATTTGAGTCATTAGATATGTACATATATTACTTGAATCAAAATTGAAATGGGTATCCGGACATGGATGTTTCCCTAAAAAACATGCCCCTCATATTTTTAAAGACGAACCTTCAAATACATTCTAACTTTTCTTCTTATACTTACTTTTTAAATATGTGTTTTAACTTCATAAATATATTTTTAAAATACATATGTACATATACATAATTGCAGGGCTGTACAGGCACAATTTTCAATATGACCAAACTGAGGATAAATGGCAAAAATACGCCGAATTAGAACATTATGCAAGCGCATACGGCATGTGTCTTATGGAAGACAATATTATTTACATTGGTGGTGTACGAGATGGCGAAATAACTAGCGGTGTTAAAAGCTATAGCTTAAAAACGAAAACGTGGAGGACATTACCTTCAATGATTCAGTCAAGATGTTGGCCAAGTGTTGTACTATTAAATGGAAATGTGTACGCGATTGGTGGAACTATCGCACCTGGACAACGTACACAGTCTGTGGAAAAGTAAGTATTTTTAATCAGGACTAGCGCTGAATCCATCGTAGTCCGATTATTGGGAATACTACGAAAATGCGATCACTGAATCCGAATTGCTATGAACGCATGCATTCAAAGTACATATATATGCTACGTTCGTTTACGAATAAATCTATTCGGATTCACTGATAGCATTTTTTTAGATTTCACGAAAAATCGAACTATGATTCAGTGATAGCCCTGAATATTTCAATACGAAGAAAATAATATTTTATGTATATTTTAGTGACAAACAAAGTCCTTTGAAATATTTGATTGAAGTACCCGATTTTGGCCAGTTTCACAAAAACATTTTAAGTGAAAAATTATTTTTTCATTTGAATTTAATATGAAAATAAATATTAACAACTAAGCTAGTGAAGTAATCTAAGCTATGGCAAAACCGAACCCTTGGTAGGTAATTAGAAAAGCGCGATTTTTACCAGCTTTGACTTTATAATTCATTATATCGTATTAAAATTATGAAAATTCAAGAAAGTTTAATAAAAACTTCAAACTTTTTAATTAGAATTTGTAAACTAAAAGTGGTATATCGTTTTATAGCCCATAAAGGTTATAAAGGTATAAAAAAGTGCAAGTGTGAAGTTGCAAGGAAATCCTGTTGATTGTTTTTTTTTTAATTCTTTTTGCAAACGGTCTTACATATTTTCCTCCATATAAAATTAATCTTTATACTAGAAAAAAACGCAAACAGCTGCCAGCAAAAAAACAAACCCGATATAAAGAAGACAAGACGGTATGCTATCACTCTATGGAGGGTTGTGAAAGCGCCACTCTGTTGAAATGTGGGTTGTAATCATCTCTTCTAACACAGTAGAACGACCATTTTTCGGTCTCAAACAAATTAAATATGTTCACACTCTATTATCCATACGTGGTAGTCAAACTTCAAGAGGTTTTTAATGCTCGCCTCAAAGAAATTTTGACACTGTCTTAAGCTTTACACTTTTTGGCTATATTTGCTTCATATTCCCTTGTAGAACATTGTGGTTCTGAGAGTCAGATATCTATGTATATTTATCAATAACGTCAAACATGTAAATACTAAATCATTTTTAGGTATTCACCCGGTGGCCGATGGAAATTAGTTAGCAGTATGATTACGCCACGAAGTCAGGCTAGTGCAGTGGCTTTGAATGACAAAATATTTGTTATCGGAGGCCACAATGGAAACGATTTAAAAACTGTTGAATGTTATGACCCATTTTCGAATACTTGGACAAAGTGCGGACATATGAATGAAATTAATTATTCCCCTGGGGTAAGTTAGCAAAGGAAAGAAGAAATCAAATTATGCAAATTTTTGTAC